CGCGCGGGTGGGGTTGGGGGGGGGGGCACCCACCTCACTCATGTGTGGAAACGTGTTGCCTCCTCCACATGCCAACACGGTTCATTTCCAGGGCTGCTTTACAACCAGAGAGTAAATTAATCCCGATCCTCTAAGTGAATTGGGAGACATTCCGCCCACCTAGAGGTGGTTTATTACAGATCTGTTGGTGACTAGAGCTCATCTGCTCTCCTGGTGCCATGCCTTCACCTCCACGGGTACAGTCTTCCTAATTGCCGGGAGTTGGAGGGTGCGTGGCTGTGTACCCTGTGTTTAATCTCATTTCATTTTTATTAAACACGTTCAGTACCTTTGTTGGGAAAATGCTTTTTTTATTCTAAGGACTATTACCTTTTTAAAGTGCTGTTAAATTTCCATGAGTTTTTATTTTGTCTCTGAGGTTTTGTACTTCATGTTCTAGGGCATTTTGTAATTTGGCTCCTTACCGATATTATTCAAATCTAGCACACGTTTTTATGTTATATTCTTCTCTGTTTCTGTCATTTCTGTATTGTCTGTGAAGTGCATTACATACGTTTTGATGTTCAAAGAACAATCTGAGATGTGAAATCTATGGGTGATACTTTTGAAATGACCAGATTTAAGATGCTAAGAAAAGGCTCTCCTGGGTCTGGACAGTGGCACGGCAGTAAAAGACAATGCTCTGTGAGGCTGACCCTCATGAGAAGGTTCCAGGTTCGGGTCCAGAGTCCTCCGTTGAGTACGGCAGGCCTGTAGGTTCCCATGGTCTGAAAACTAGCTAATGCTGGAGGTAGATCGTGGCCTCGAGACCCTGTAGGAGGTACCATCTCTCTGTTCCTCTCTTGGTGTCTCTTGTCTCTCTCTCGCTTATGAAAGAAGGAGATGAGTAAACTTATAAAAAGAAAATCTCTTTTACCACTGTTTTCTGTGTACCCTGCTCTTTGTCTCAGAGGCAGCCATCCGATCAGTCCTAGGCCTCCACCTTCCCATAATGCCTTAGCCTCTGCCACTCTCTCACCGTACTTTCTCTCTCCCCCTTTTTAAGAATTATTTAACTGTTTATTTATTTATTTAAATTTGACCAGAGAGGGACAGAGCAAGAGTGAGAAAGCAAGCTGCCTGGTTCGGGACTCAAACCATGGTTGGCCATGTGAGAGTCCACACCACCTGCAAGCGCCTCATCTTATTCTCTTAAATCTCTTTTCTCTCCTCAGTTTATTTTTTTCTTCTCAAAACTTCTTACCTTGCTTGCTCTAAAATGCATAAAACAAAAGGTATTTCCAAGAAAGAGCTCAGTAAAGAGACTTAAAAGAAAATATATTAGATTTTTATGTTGCTGCAAGTCATGAGCCCTGTTAGCAAAGAGTAATTTTTGTTTTGTCACATTTGTAAATATATCAAGGGGCTAATAAGCCAGTAGTGCATTTAATTTCTTTAATCTTGATACTCTTATATTTTGTCTCTGTTAGTGACATTCTTTCTCATTTCAGTGGAAAACAATTTATTTCCCCCTCTTTTGGGGCAGGTCAACTGGGAAGGGTCTTCCTAAGAGGGAAGCACATGCCTTGACAGTCGGTCGGATTGTTTGTGGGTGGGTGATGCTGTTAGTGTGGGGAGAGGGGACAGCCGCCTGTGAGCCCCGGTGACTGGCCTGTAAGTAATTATGCCTCAGTTGCTGGTGTCTCTACAGGACGAGTGGGGCTGTCCTGTCCAGACGATTCTGCAGATGTCAGTGTTCCAGTTAATGGGGTTGCTTTGAACCGTTGCCTTTGGGGAGAGCATTCCAGAAGGAAGGAGTTTTGAGCAGTCTTTTGCCTCGTAGGCATTGCTAGATAATTGTGGTGGAAGGAGACTGGATCTGAGGGAGGTGTTGCTGCCTGTCATGGCTAATAAATGACAATAAGGAAACCATCTTTCACGGAACCGTTGGTAGAACTATGTTTAAATGGCAAAATTTGTGAGTGAAATGATAGGAACTCCATTTCCCTGACACATTTTATGCTTTTCTTTCTTTTTGGTTTTCAGGAGTCTGTCCTTAAAGACTTCTGAAGCCCAACAAGGCCCAGCAGTGAAAGTGATCTATTAGCCATCTTTTTCTAAATTAAAAAAGAAGCAAAATCAGAGAACAGCCAACTGAGGAGAGTGCTCATGAATAACAATTCAGACATGAATGCCCAGCGATCTAATGTTCCTGTGGGCTGGGTAGCATTTTTAATCTTTCCATGTTTCTATCTGCCTGAGAGTCAAAAATTCCTAGGTCGACCAGTAGATGGTTGGGGAAGGGCTGAGGGGCACAAGGGAGGCACTGTTCTGATTCACAGCACTGATGAGACGGACCTGGCAGGGCCATGCCACACACTGCCGTCCTCGTGCCAGCCAGGGTCACAGGCATGCTTCTGGGCTCATTTATCAGGGGGCCTCCCCAACACGCAGTGGAAGGACCAGAACCCCAGGGGCAGTGCTTTGCAAACCTCCCCGTGAGGGTCTGTGGTGAGTAGTTACACTCCCCAGTAGCCCTGAGTCCAGGGCTTTTTGGAGCCAAGATCACATTTAGAAGAAAAGGTTTACCACAGTTAGACTGGACGAGGGCTGTCCTAGAATCATTTTGGAAAGACCAATAGCCGATAGCCTTATTTTTCTCCCAAGAGGAGAACAGAGGAGAAAGGATTGCAGCGTGACCATCCCCCCTGGGGGGTGATTTCTCACTTGCTGTCTCTCTCTGTCTTTCTGGCGAGCGCACACGCCCTATAGCAAAAACCTCTCCCCCCAAAAAAGAATTTTCTCTTTGTGATAGGCTAGTCCACTTAGCATAATATCCTCAGACGTTCATCAGTGTTGTAGCACGTGTCAGCATTTTCTTCCTTTCGAAGGTCGAAAAGATCCCATGGTATGTGCATGCACATTTTAACCACCCAAGATGGATGCTTGGGTTGCTCCTGGCATTTAGCTGTTGTTCTTTGAAAGTCCACTGTCGCTCTGGAATGTGGCGCTACCTCCCTCAGGTCCAACCGTCTGCCTTCTCCCAACACGAGTGGGTTTTCCCACTCTTAACCGGCATTTCTAAGAGACTGGTTAACGTACTTTCTTTTGACCACCCGCAGGTTTCTGTGCGTTTTCTGGAACTGAGCAGTAACCCATCTCTGCAAAGTCTCCCCAGACCTTTCTGGGCTGGAAGCAACTCTTCTATGAAATCCTGCGGCAGTTATTGTCAGCCACGATCTTCTTGGCAATGAATCGTGCGCTGTTTTATGACATCTCTTCTCCTGTCTAGAACTGTTATCGAAACATTTCGTTTAACTCTGCCCATTTATCTCTTCCTGCTCTAACTGGGTTGGAACCTCCCCAGGAATACGCGCTGCCCATGTGTCCTCGCACCTCACTGCCTCTTCTCCCTACGTGCTTGCACAGTGCCCCGGGTAGACGGGTTCAGGATACGTTTTTAATATTTCCCCCTAAAAGTTATGACCCTGATTGCACTTTAATTCAGCAGAGTAGCTGATCAAGAGCCAAGTTCCTAAATTATTTTTTTCAGGCTGATTTTCTCACAAATGGCTTGAAAACATTTTGATGTAGAATGTAAGAGAAAGAAATCTTCCTGTTAGCATCCAGGGTTAATGGGCACGTTTATCTTTAAGAGAGAAGGGAGATTACTATTTAAATGTCTCATTTTTAACTTCTGTGTTTCAGTTAACACATTCTTATATATGGCTTTGAATTAGGAATTTGGCAATAATGTACACTCTTGGCAGAACTTCCAGAGATGATGTTCCCACTGAAACCCATCTGATTAGAGATGCCTTGACCTTTTCAGGCCTTAAATCACTGTGGAATGCTTACTGGTGTAGTTCTTTATTTTAACTTTTGTTAATGAACATTGCTGCATCTTGGTATTGTTACTAACTTAAGCATGTCATTTAGTCCAGGTTTTTTTTTTTTTTTTTGAGAGGTTTTTGCCTTAGGGCGTGTGCGCTCGCCAGAAAGACAGAGACAGAGACAGAAAGCGAGAAATCACCTCCCCGGGGGGGATGGGCATGCCGCAATCCCTTCTCCTCCATTTTCCTCTCGGGATCTTGGGCACGCATGCACACGCGTCCAGTTTGAGTTTAAGCCACTGGGTCTGGGACATGAACCGCAGTTGACTACATGGGAGTTCAACGGCATAGCCATTACGCTAACTGCTGGTCCCTGGTCCAGGTTTAAATGGGCATTTTGGAGTTGCTCCTCTGCACAGTACTACATAGCATATAGCCTTTTTGTTTTTTGTTTTTTGGGTTTTTTCATTTAATTTTTTTTTTTGAAGAGGTTTTTGCTATAGGGTGTGTGTGCTCACCAGACATACAGAGACAGACA